GGAGCCACAGCTTACCTGGGCCTAAAAAAAGAAAAAAGCTAAAAGAAAATGGTATACTCATATATTTTACATATTAGTGTACCAGTATAGTTGAAACATAGGTATTTTAAATGTCCTTAAGGAATCCACTGAAGACATATTATATATTTATCCAAACACTTAAGTTCTAGGAGTAGAATGCAACCTCCCGCGAGGAGGTAGTTCCTGATGCAGATGGGGCCGTTTAATTTCAACCGCACCACTGCAAGTGCGGTTTGTGTTTCCAACACACTAAGAAACCCTCGTCTGTCCTTCCACAGGTGTCAGGGTGCAGTTCCCGTCAAGGGACTGACCTCTTGGCTTACAAAGGCTTTGAGCACCCGGCGGCAGCTGGGGGGGGGGGCTGGCTCTGGCCGCCCCATTTCTCCCGTGCGCTACGGAGTGCGGAGCTGCGCCCCTGCGGTGCTGCCGCCGGACTCCGGCTGGTGGAGCGGGTTCCTCCCTACCCTCCGCGGGGGCATTGCGTCAACCCTGGGAGGAGGATCCTCGAGGTAAATGAACTTTTTAAACGGGAAAAGGAGAAGCAGGGAGAGGAGGAAGAAGAGGCGGAGACAGCACCCGCCCGAGCGCTTGCTCTCAACGGGAAAACGGGCTTCGGCCGTTGCCCGGCGCCACGGCTGGAGGATGCGCTTCGCCGTCGCGCTGAGCGCCCGGCTCCGCAGGCGAGCGGTGGGGCTGCGGCCGTAGCGCGGCTCCGCGGTGAGTAGGCGGCGGTGCTGTCCGCGCAGTGAGCGCTAGAGCGAGCGGCGGGAGCCCGGAGCGGCGGTGCCCTGCCGCCGGGCTGCCGGAGCGGGGAGCTTGGGCCGAGGGGCTGATGCAGCAAGCAGGCAGCGAGCGGATCTGGCCGCGCTCCTGCTGCATAGGTAACGGGCGGGGCTGGAAGTTGAGCGAGGTGTGACGAGAAAGAGGGCTTGGGGCTGTGAGACGGGTGAGAGTGGCCGGGTACCGTCGGGATCGCTGCGGCCCCGGGCACCCCTGTCTGGTGCAGCCGGAGTCCCTCGGCCCACCCGGCCCTAAGGCTGCTGCCCGCGGCGGGGCGAGAGATCCTGACCGGCCGGTAATGGGTACCCCCGCGAGAGGACCAGGGTATGGCCCCGGCTGCGGGTGCTGACGGGGCCTCTGCCCGCTGCCCTCTTACTGGTGCATCCCCGTGCTCGGTGAGAGGCAGCCTGTGTGGAAAAAGAGTTTCCAAAGGCAACTGATGCCCTGGCACTTAGCTTCCCATTTAGCAAATACCCGCGTGTGTCCGGGTGATGTGGGCACTGACTGTATGTGCTTGCGTATGTATATGCATAGCATGGTTGGGTTGTTTTTTTCCTGTATGCGGTTATAAATAATTTTGTCTACTTGGTAGGATGTATTTGTGCACTGTAACTGTTGTCTCCTACTTTTTCTGTCTTAAAACACTTACATTCATTCCCTTCTGGTATTTTCACAAGTGAAAGTCTGTTGTTATTACTGTACTTAATACAAGTTAACATAATTATCTTTAAAGGCAGAGATTGTCTATCTTTATGATTCGTAAGTAAGTGAAGATAATAAGTATAATAGGGAAATAATTCCTAATCTCTTTCCAGTTATTGGATTATCATTTCTTGTGGTGCAGAAAAGTGTGTTTTATTATTGTGGATTTGGGGGATCCACATAGCAGTTTAACCTGTCTGAGGAGTGTGTGTACTGGGAAGCTTTAATGATAAGATGCAAGGAGTGAACAGAAAGAATACTGTGGCTTTGTGGAAAGTATATTGTACTGTTTAAAACACCTTTAAAAATATCAAATGCTGTAGAAACTTGTAAGTAAGTTATTATTCCGTTGTATTTAAAATAAAGTTGTAGAATAGGGAAAAGATTCTGTAATGCAAGTAAGCTCCCTGGTGATAAATATTTAGCTTTGGTGTAGAGTTCACCAGCATAAGGAAAGCGAGTCAGAAGAACATGTCTGAATAGTAATTTAGTGCTGTAGCAAGTCCTGGAAGCTCTGTTCTGGAGCTTCCAAATAGCTATGAAAGATTGTAGATATTTGCAAATAAAAACAGTTTAGCTGTAGTTTCTGTTGGTAAATCAGCACGACTGTAATATTTGAGAGGCACAGTTAGCCCTGGGGATTTGATTTTGTCTTTTCTCTTCAATTTTTTACTTTCTCAGGGGAAACCACCCCAAAGTATAAAGCTATGAGAAAACACAGTATGTTGTTAGATTACAGCAGTAATGTTGATAGCAGGATTCCCTAGAGAACCTTGTTTGATTGCAAACAGTTCTTCCCAATCCATATATACAACTGTTTATCTTTTATGAGCAACAATATAATAGTTTCAAATGATCAGTGAAAAAGGACTTCTCATAACCAGACCTGGATGTGTAGAAGTGACTCAAGAGTTAAAAGAACAGCAGCACTGCTGAATCCATTTAACTGGCAAAATGGTTTTAATTGGGTTGGTTGCTAGGGAATGGCTCCAGCACAGTGTCTTTCAATAAATTTAAACATTGGACAAATGGCACACCTAAGTCTGCTTATACGATACACCTGGTAGTGGCTCCAGCCCTATGTAGAGCAGGTGTGTGTTGCTTCTTGCTCATCAGTTTTCCCTTCCTGTGCAGTTCCAGCATGTGGCTTATATGCTGCTGCCCCTACTCTGTGGTAGCTGCTGTGTGAGCTGAACTTGCCATCACAATTTGGTACCAGTGCTTTGCAGTAGACTTGTTTGAAAAAAAATAATCAGTTAATAGAAGCAGGATCAGAAGCAGCTCTCCAGAGGTAACCTCAAAGTGGGATTAATTAATTAATTTATTATTTGATACAGGAATTGATTTGTTCCTTTTCTGCTCCAGGAAGAGTCAGGTGTTATTCTTGATTACATTGGAATAACTTAATTATTTGACTTCAGTGAAGTTGCACTGCACTCATGCATGGGATAGTTGTGCTTGGACAGACATTAAAGATCGGGAATGCCAGTGTATACTGTACTGTCTGTTACTAGTGTTGCATGCCGTACCTACTGCACCTGTGCCAGGCAGTACGGATCAATAGCATGTTAAAAATGTCATCTGGGGTAGAACTGACACTGGTCATCCCTGTGTATCCCTGCCTCTGGTGCTGTAGAACTGGCATTAGAGGGCAGCATTAAAAATAAGTCTTTCTTTGGGGTGAATGCTACTTAGGAACAGAGTTTGGCTCCTTTCTTTTATAAATAGAATAAATGTACTGAGGTCTGGCTTTATTTCTTCAACATTTGTAATGTGACTTAGTGTAATGTTCTGTGTTGCCGCACAGGAGAATTAAGTTTGGCTTTATTCTCATTCCCCATTCTAGCAAGAGTTATGAAGAAAAAGAGGCAGCTGTATCTAATTGAGGCTATGGAGGGAGTCAGGGACTTGTTAAACTCCACTGTAAACCCTAGAAAATAAGAGATGCAGACTTAGAATCATAGAATAGTTAGGCTTGGAAAGGACCTTAAGATCACCAAAGTTCCAACACCCCTGCCATAGGCAGGGACAGGGACACCTTTGTCTAAAGCAGACTGCTAGAAGCTTGCACAGGCTTAATCAAGCTGAGTTAGGTGCCCCAGCTGAAGAGCACTTCATAAATTACCGATAGCATTTGCTTGCATATAAACTGGGAGTGAGTAGGCTTGTCAAGCTCATATGTGTAATCTGGGAGAAAATAAGAGGCATACCTAATTCTCATGGGAGCCACTCCAGATTAAGCATCTTTAATACTGGAGGTTGGCCTGCAGAGGCATAGAAAGCAGTAGACCATCTGTACCACTCAGATCAAAATGCATCATTGGAGAGGGTGCTATATTAAATGTGAAGGCAGATTGGGGCACTGCTATGGAACTCTTCTGGTCTTATCTATGAGTTGCAGCTTAAACTTGTTGACAGAAATGGAGAAAGAATTGTGATAGAGACTTTGTCGTATTTCTCCCCTGAAGTTCACTGAAGACTAGGGGTTAAAAAAATCAATCTATATTTGACCACTGGCAATCCAGGCGAGAGCCTCTTCTGTTGCTATTCTAAGAGCTGTTTAAAGCTGGCTTTTAGATTTTATTGCATATATGCTGTTAGTTGTGGCATGTCTGTTTTATGAATGCATACTTCAAGAAACAGGTTATTTTCTAAAATTGCTTTAATTTTCTTACCTAGTTATTGGTATGAGTTTTGCACATAATTACATACTTTGAGTTGGTTCCCAGCAGTACTTACGCTGATAATAATAGGAACATAACACATCAGAGTAGTTGAAAAATCTTCATCGAGGAGGGGGGTGAGAAGGAGATAACAGGTTCAGGAGAAGTTGCCTGTTGTACTTGACAGGAAATTCTCTCCTCCACTCGCAGTACCCTCTCAGAGATAACTGTTTTAAACCATAAAGATATAAATGTGGATAAAATAGCTGTGGAAGAGCAGTTTATGCGCATCCCCAAATGCGTTGGGTATTTTATAGGTAGAGAAGCAGCTTTCTGAGCTGGCGACAACTTCTATTTTTAGTGACAATAGAGGGAGGGACAGGCAATAAACTGTGAGGAAAAGACAGGCAAAGGGAGAGAGGCAATGAGGTCATGAGGTTACTGCCATGCATTTGTTTAAAAGAAGTGAGAAAAATGCAAGGAAGGCTGTCGGATGCACAATACAGTGAATGTAGTTATGAGCAGGTACAAGAATGTGAGGCCTTAAGTGCTGCAAAAAAAGTCAGCAAATGCTAGTATTCCAAGAAGTTATTGGCTAGTGTAGAGCAGAAAAACTCACACTAGTTTTTAGAACTTCAGGGAAAGGTTTGTGTGTGATGAAAACATGTGTTGTCACTTTATTTTATTGTTTTTTTTTTAACAGAAGTACACGTGGAGTAATTGCTGAAAAGCAGAAGTCATTTCTCTACCCTCTCTCCCCAAAAGCTGGTGTCCAGGAATATGGGCCTGCTAAACTAACTCTTATTTTTTTTCCCCTCTTCCCTTTTGAAACAGATCCAGGTTTGCCTTTCAAGCTGCTTTTGACTACTCTGGACAGTAGCAACACATTGAGTTTGACATGATTCTTCCCAGTTGTGCTGCTGCAGATGGAATTCTGAGTACAAGGAATGAAAATTGATAGGACTTGTCGGTGTTCCTTCTGCTACAGCCTGGCACATTTCTGAGCAGCCACAGAGGTACTAAAGCTCTGGCTGTAAACTTAGGAATCTGGGCTTTTCTCTTTCCTTATCCATTAGAACAAGTGTTAGGATATTTTAAATCAATGTTTAGTTTCTATGGAAAAAGTTGATTTTACCTGCCTGTGAAACTCGCTGGACAGACTAGTAAGGAATAAGGATTTTTCATTTCCTTAAAACCATCTTAGTATATGTTTTTGGAAAACAGCCTTAATAAATATTGCATCATGCTATAGCTACATATCTGTTGACTTACATGAAAATTCAATATGCATTTGTTAAATAAGCATAGAAGCAGAGTACAATTTTTCAGACCAGTGGTTTTGCTGTTGCATGAGAACTTCCTTAATCAAAGTTTATCTCAAAGAACAGATGCTGGCAGGGATCAAGTAATAATGTGGCAATGAAATAATTTGCTGGAAGAAAAAGTGTTTTCCCAAGTGGCTTTAGGGGCAGGGTGGCCAATGTATTTCTTTGGGTAAAATGCTCTGTGCTGGGTTCTTTCTAGTCAGGCATTTCTGGTCTTTACAAAAAGCAGATACTTTCCCTTGTGTTATTTTTAATTGATTTTTTTTTTCAATGCATTACAAGAGATCATTGGCACCAGTCCAGGAAAAGGCAGGCAGCAAGCAGGGAATTCATCAAAAACTGACTCATTGATCGCTGGATCTGATGAAATAATTAGTACTTGATATTTTCAATACAGTTTCATACTGTTGTTTTGACTTCCAAAAGCAAGAGAAAATCCCTTCATACCAGAGGAGCATTGAGCAAAACAATGATTTTCAAAATTCTGCAGCACACCTATGTATTTTTGGACTCTCTGTGTAAGAATTGTGAAGGATTTTTAACTGGCTCATCAACAGGAGCAGTACCACTTAGACATGCTCTGTTCTGCAAACAGGTTAATTCTGGTGCATTGTGTTTTATGATGGAGAGAAGTCACAGGAGCTGCAAATCACTTTGGTGTTCCATTCCCAAACATTTTCAGTAATGGGCCTTCAAATGTGCTCATTAATAATAATGATATTAAAAAAAGAAAAAATCTTGGAAACCATCAGAAATGCTGAAGGGATATCACACAAACATCAAAGCTACACTAGACTTCAAACAGCATTGTACCATAGTTCCAAGTTCTGGGCAGCTCTGCTCTGTAATGAAATTTGTAAGATAAATCAGTGTATAACAAGTCATCTGTCTGAGGGTCCTCTATGAATTTGCGAATGTGTTGTTAATTCGGTGAATTTTGCCATAGTCCTGGCAATAAGGAGACACATGTTTGGGTTTTTTCTTCAACATCTGCATTTTTGGTGCAGTAAACAAAAATGTCATCTCAAAACATCCCAGAACTTTAAGGAAGCAGGTTGCCTTTTACATGAATCAAAGCAAATGTAAGGGTTTGATACCCTGCTAAATCCTTGAACTTGCTGCCAAATTTGAGCACTGGGTGAAACTTTGTTGGTACCAGTTCATGAAATGTGAATTTTTCAAGTTTCTGCTTCTAGCTGACACCATAGAAAAAGGTTCAGTTGTTATGTTTGGTTTGTTTGTGGTTTTTTTGTTAGGAGTTACATTATTTCAAATATATTGGTTTTTACTACTTTGGAGAGAAACTTTCTCTCCCCTGGGGGGCAGGGAGGTCAAGGTATAAATAAACACTTGCTTCCTTCTCCCTTATAGGAGACCTGCAAACAAAGAAGAAATAGAAGCCATTAACCTACCTTGTTCAGAGAGAACACTAAATCAGCACAATATGGCACAGCACAGTATTGTCCTTGGATTATTCATGATGACTGTTTTATCACTGCTGGATGGAAGTTCAGCTTTCCTGTTAAATCAGCGTCTGAAGGGAAGATTTCAAAGAGACCGTAGAAACATCCGCCCAAACATCATCCTTGTGCTTACTGATGATCAGGATGTAGAACTTGGTAAGAGCCCAACATACAGAGAATTTATATATGGCACTGCTTTGCCTTGAATCTAGATTCTTCTGTTCAGAAGAATTATTTTTTATCAGTGTGAAAAATGACAGGAAGAGCAAGTAACAAAAGTTTAAACCTACCTTTATGTAGAAAATACTTTCCATCCACATGCAATTTAAGGACAGCAAAAGTTAGTCTCAAGTTAAAATGCTAAACTTCCTGTTTCTGTGGAAATATGAGACTCCTGCCTATCTGTCTTCATTAGACAGCTAAACTATGCTTCTGGCGATTGCAGGTTTAACCTGGGAAGCTACATGCCAAAGCAGTAGATTTAAATTCATAACTGATTATTGCACCATGTAATTATCCATATTTTTGTGTGTAATTGCAGACGTTCATTACATACACAATTTTAATTTTAATTACTTAAATGTTACCTAGAATAGTCGTACTGTTCTTGGTATTGTCCATTTAGATGTGTAGTTAATTACTGCCCAAGATCACTTAGTAAGACCTTTTCATACTGTGTTACTCAGTGCTATGTTAATTGTTGAAGAAAGGAGATGAAGATTAAACATGTGCTTTGCCTAATGATTTGGAATAGCGCATTAACTGACAGAGGCTGGGTTTGTTACCTGAACAAGCTTATATTTGTTAAAAGTTGTCTGTATTTAGAAGTGATTAACACAAACCAGTTTACATCAATAATTTTGCATTAGAAATATGCTTTTAAGTGGGTATAAAGCGTGGATCATCTGAAAGATGTGAGCTTGTGTATGTGTGGTCTGGTGAGGTTTTTGACATTTGAGAAAAACTGGAAAACAGACCTCACAGAAGAAATGGAACACAATAGTAAAATTAATCAGTTTGTATAATTTATACACTTCCTCATCTGGTTGAGAAGTTAATCACAGCAATGTGGCAATATTCCTGCGGGTGCTTTCCTTTTATCGGTATTGCTGCATGTTTGCAGTATTATAGATGTCATGTTCTTCTCAAAGGTGGTGAGGAAGCCTTCTATGGCACTAACCCCACCAAATACAGATGTAATTCATATTAGTAGGATCAGACAATTATTTGTTGTTGTTGTCATTGTCACTTTTCTAATGGATATTTGGATCACAAAGAAAGCAGCTTCAATAATGCATATCCAAAAGAACTTAACTGCATTATCTTGCAGGCTCAGAAGGTGGTCCTAAAAAATTTATCGTCTTCCATTTTATGCTAGCATGCTTGTTTCTGATGCAATTGTCTAAGTCCTTTGGGCAGTATAGTTTCTCTTCTCTGATAATCTGATGCCTTCCAATTTCAAGCATAATGGGCATGTGTCCACACAAATTAGGATCTAAGGAAAATCAATTTGATGAAGCTGAGATTTTATATTTGTCTTTTGCCTCTAATGGCTCTGGGAGGCCCAATATTTATTTGAATTAATTTTTATTCTTCTCTCTTGTCTGGAGAGCTGTCCAGGTTAATCATAATTGCCATTTCTGGGGATTGTGGTTAATGCACTTAAGAAAGATGGGAATAAAATGTGAATAATGAACAAAAGCTAAGGAAAACTTGGAAGCTGTGAAACTGTTGCAAAGAAAGCTGTGCATAACTAAGATTTCATCTGCTTCTAAAAATATTCTGTAACTGATGGGTGTTCTAGCTTTCATTGTTCTTGTGTGACTGACTTTTGAGGCAAAAAGGAAGCCAATGCAATCTCAAGTGCTCTTAACAGCCTTTCCTTTATTCAGTTTAAGATGTATTTAATAATGTACCAATAGCTGGTGGAGTTTACCAGAACGTCTTTCTTTCACAAAAGGAGTGCAGCTTTTTGTTACTACTTTTTTGAATTCGTACTACTGTTAACCACAAGTTTTACTTGGGAAACCAAACCTCAGCCTTGTATTGAAAAAGGAAAAGATTTATGAACGGCTGATGAAAAGGATGCAAAATTTCCAGGTCAAAGGGGAACAAATGTAAATTGTAATATATACAAATGGAGGAAGATAAATGAGAACACAGAGAACTCCTGAAACACACACTCAGTTGACTGTCTTATCAAGGGAGTTGTATTGACAAGCAGAATGTAAAGAAGAGGAATATACTGACGAGGAGAAAGAATTAATTAAAAACAAAGACTTTCCTTTCCCCCTTTAGAGCCATTTAAGTCCAAGTTAGTATAATGCTGATGTCCCCTGTGTGATGGACTCAGCACCTCCAGTTTAATTAGGTTTGCCTACCTTGTTTCTGTGGTTTAACAAACCAGCTTATTTCATTATCTCATAGTTCGAGAAAGGTTTGGTTATTTGGAAAGTATTTCAGCCACGTTAGAAAACCTGAGTGAGAAGTAGTTTGCATGTTCCTACAGCTTCCTCTGAAAAAACTATGTAAGTGGCATGGAAGATGATATTTCTTAGTTATATAGAGAACGAAGCCTTAGAGCTTCATTCAAATTAAATAGGAAAATAGAAAAGGGGAAATGAAGATGTGAAAAGGGTATCTAATGAGGTTCAGATAAGATAAAAAGAAATAGAAGGATTTATGGGACAGTTAATTAACATTGTGGAGTTCAGTTAACTTATCTGCATATGGATAGCACTTCTTAAATTGTGCTTCAGAGTAGACCAAGTCACTTGGGACTTAATACATATCCTTCAACAGTTGGAGTTCCTAAGACTTACCTAAATTATGACCTCTGAAAGCAAAAACAACTATTGAGAAAGTCAGTATTTTCTCATAGACAATTGGTATATTTTCTCCATTAGTATTAGTCAGAATATCAGCCTTATCCCCAAAGTGAGCTGTGGAGACACACTGAGAAAAGTTATGTATACCACACAAGTGTCAAGTGGGATTTCCACCTTGGTTTTGACCTCGCTTTACGTGAGCAGCTTCAATGCACCACATTGATTAAACTTTCCTATTTTCACAGTAGTTCAATGGATTTTTTTTTTTAATGGCTTAGAAATTTTGCATGTAACTACTGAATAATTTTTATCTATCATCAGTGGGTTTAGGTAACAGAACATTTTCTGAATTAAATATTGACACTTCAAAGCATGACTTTTCTTGGAATATCCACTAATGAAAACCCAGAAGATTTTCCATCTCGAGGTGATTTGATGAGGTTCCAGTTGTTGATTAACACATAACTGATCTTCTGACATAGAGAGATGATTTTCTACTTTTTCCTCACAATTCTGTGTTTGTATCAGAGGCAAGCTGAAGAAAATAAGTTTTGGTTGGCTGGTTTAATGCTGTGTAAAATATTTAAAGCTGGCCTATTTAAGACTGTGCAAAGGAGTATGCTGGATTTTTACCTTCCACTGATCTGTCACTCTGTGTTAGTCCTCAAGCTGGGGAAGCAGATTAGATCATATGTTTTTCTATTAAAGACTGTTGATATATAGGGCCTTGTCATTGCAGCAGTTTTATTAAAGGAGGTTACTGTCCCCAAGGGGAGTCTTAACATGTACTGTTATTTATGCACAGATGCCTCTGTCATTTAAAGAGGTTGTTAAATTGTATTTTAATATTGGGATGACAAAACATTCTTATGGTCTGCCTGTTTATGCTTGGGCCAGCTCATAAAACGACACAGAGGAAATGTCTGCAGTTTTTAGGTTTGCATAATGTATATTGCCTGTTACAATTGTTAACTGTAGTGTTAGTGCCTTTGAGCACTAACACTTATCCCATAGTTATGGAAACAAAAAAAAAATCTTGCTTTCTTGAGAAACTTCTTTTTGATATTTGACAAGTTGTGAAGGAGGAGTGCAATAACCTGCCTTGGTTCTTGTCAAAAAGTGGTATGACAGACATGGGCTGTGGCCCAAGTAAGAAAAGGATCTCAAAGGAGCTAATATCATGGCAATTTTTAGGTGACATGACCTATAGTAGTAATTTGCCTTCCTTTATGGTGCCAGAGTCAGGTTTTGTATGTGGCTTGAGACTATTTTCCTTTTAGGTTTTGACTCCTGGTTATTTCAATGTGCCCTGTATCAAACCTACTTACTGTTGCAATTTCATAATGATATTTCTATCTAAAGAGCTAGAAGAAACCTAAACCCATTATTGATAGAAACAACATACAGTTTATGCCAGATGGTTGCAGGATGCATTGATTAAAGCTGAACTATTAATTCAACTCAGCCTTAGGTAAGTTAGTCCCAACCCTACTCCAGCATGAGCCCATACCTTTATATTGTCCATTGGCTTGCCCAGCTCATAACATGAAGGGAGGGTTGATGATGAAAAGATTTACTGTCCTTTTCAAGGTCATGCTGAGGACAAGTACCATTATAAGTTCCTTGTAAAATGGAAATTCTTCACAGATAAAGTATAACTCTGTTGCAGTTTTAACTGTCAGGCACTGATAGGTGAGGGAAACTAAATGTCTCTTATTTCTGATCCATGGTGTTTCTGCATGTAGGAAGAACTCTGATATGGATCCAGATTTAGCTAGGTGGATGTCTATAGTAAAGAGAAGTCTTTGTCCAAAGTCTTCTCTTAAATAGGAAACAGAACAGCCATTTGGCAGCAGTATGGCTTTTAGTAATTGTTGGCAAAAAGCCTTTTGCCCCTGTTACCCCAATTCATCCAAGTCCCTGCCAGTTAAACTTTCTTTCTTGTTTTTAGTTGATGGTAATAAACTACAGGGTGTTATCTGTCCCAAGCTGTCATCTAAAAATACGATTCTGCAGAACCAGGGCTAAGAAATGTTGGAGAGTTTTAGATAACACGGTTATCAAAATGGATCAAGTGGATAGATAGAGCTCAGTGAGCTGTTATGGAAATTATTATGAGGGGTTTGCTTTGGTTCAGTGAAGGCTGCATAAATCAATACCTGCTAATACCTCACATTAGGAAAAAGAACATTTTATTTAGAGAACAGCTCAGTCCCTGCTTGAGCAGACTGTTGGATAAATAATCTTCCAACCTCAGTGGTTCTGTGATTACAACCCTCAGCCTTTTGCAGAAAATTGGCACAAAATGTGGTGCATCAGGTATCTTCTGAAACCAAGGCGTAAATAATGCTTGAGCATGCAAACCTTGGTCAGGGTTGCTGCACAAAGTGAATTACACCCTCAGGCCACATTGTCTTAGCCTCATTCCTGCTATTTCTTGCTTTCAGCTACTGGAACAGTACTAATGGCTCAAAAAAGGTTGCACAGGTAGTGCGGAGGGTTATTGTGGTAAATCTTGAGCTTAGAGCGAGAGATATTAAAGAAGCATTGTTATCTATGTCAACAGGTTTGAGTCAAATCTTAACTTAGGACTTCAGTATTTGGTCCTTCTTAAAACAAGAGAACTTCTCTACAGGAGGGACAATAATCTTTTTGGATTTGGGTTTGTTATGAGGTTACAGTGCCCTTACTACATGCGCTTTGTTCTGATCTCTGATATAACGTGTGAGCTCTTAGTTCCTGTGACTGAAATAATTCTGAGATGGTTTGTTATTCCAGGGTCTATGCAAGTGATGAATAAAACAAGGCGTATCATGGAACACGGAGGTGCTCATTTCATCAATGCCTTTGTTACAACACCCATGTGCTGCCCATCTCGTTCCTCTATTCTTACGGGGAAGTATGTCCACAACCACAACACTTACACTAACAACGAGAACTGCTCTTCTCCATCCTGGCAGGCTCAGCATGAAATACGTACGTTTGCAGTGTACCTCAACAACACAGGATACAGGACAGGTAAGATAATGGCTGGCTCCATCTGAAAGCTTCCTTAGACTAATTAGTACAGAGGCTAATGTGTATAGTATTTTAATTTGCTCTCCTAATGGACTGCAGCAGTGCAACGTGCCAAAGCTTCCATCTTGCATGTAGGTTTAGCTTCCTTGTACTTTTACTTGAGGAAATGAAAATGCAAACAAACAAAAAATACCCCCAAAACACAAAACCAAAGGTAATATGCCCTGCAATTACCTGAAGCGCACAGAGCAGACAAGATACTATGGAAAGAAGTTAGTGATTTGAATTTGTCATAAACAGGATATATTAATCAAACTAAGAACACAAGAGAAGGGCCTGTTCATTCTGGACTTTGGGGTAGAGCTGTCAGCTGGATGGGTTTCTCTAGACAATTTGTTCCCAGAAAAGTGTTGAGGGTAATGACTGAGGAGTAATGGGCAAGATCAGATGTATGCCTGAGAAACAAATGATCCCCTTTGCGTGCAGTGCTCCTTAGGAGCAAATGTCCTGATTTCAGAAAATATATAGTGTATTTCACACCTATTTTGTTCATGCATCCTCCAGAAATGAGATTTGGGTCCTTGCCTATTACAGTGGTTTTGTCACTTTTCTTGCTAATGCCTTTTTTTCATGATAAGGAGGCATAAACCTGGTGGTAGTGGAGTTATTTATAGTATATACACCATAGTATTATAGGATAGTTGTGTTTGATAGTATATGGATTTCTTTTTTCTTTGTATATCTGCTATTTGAGGTTTCCAGAAACTGGCATAAATCCTGAATAATAACTGTAACAAGGTCACCATTTTCTTTCTAACTATTCACGTGAATTTTACGTTATTGCTGCAAAACCTTGGTCTTAAAATAAATAGGTAATTTCCTTGTTTTGTTTGTCCAAAATAAAGACATGAATTAATCTGGAAAGAAATAAATAGGGGGAAGTGCACATACCTTATTAATTGGTTGCTGTTTCCCTCCATTTATCATTCCTGGCACTGATACCAGTGATCATATGAATACCACACCAAGGGTAATGGCTTATTCTTCACAGATTATTTGTTCTGCATTTGCTGATGTTTGTTTATGGTAATAATTTTTACATTTAGTGACTATATTTCAAGCACCTGCTATTTCTACCAATGTGCATAGCTATTGCAAGTGTCCTGGTATTTGTATGTCTTAAATTCTTACATTAACTTAATGCTTAAATTTAGACCCAAGATTGTCGTGAATCTTTATTATACTTTCAGCCCTAATTTTTTCTCTCTTAATTTGCAAACTAAATTTATTGGAAGACATGGTAATAGTACTTTTACAAGTACAAAGCAGTCTCCAGGTGTAAATGAGATCCTCATTCATGTAGTTAAATGTGACATGTTATTATACAAACTTAAATGGTAATTGCCATCATTGGAGGCGGGTGTTCATTTCTGATCTACAGTTAGTCTTGAGTTATCCACTATGAAGCAGTAAGAAGGTATTTGTTTACCTTTCTTGCTTTTTCTTCCCAAGTATCTGATCAGATTTACCTGCTTCAGAAACAGCAGGAAATTGAACTTGAGAACCTTGTTCTCTCAGTTTCAAAAGTAGCCTACTGAGGAGAGCATTTGGGAGATGATGAATATAGTTTCTCCCAAGTGGGGAGTGCTCTTTGAACATGACTGCAGTGAAAAAAGGAAGATCTGGGAAGCACAGTAGTTCATTTGTAATTTATTATTATTATTATTAAGTTCCATGGTTTGTGCTGCAAACAGTTTAAATTCTTGACTCCGCATCCCCCACCCCCCTTTTATTTTTCTTTTTGGGTTTTTTTTTTTTTTTTTTTTTTTTTGTGTTAAGAAGGAGAAGAAAAAGAGGCCTGGAGCCATGAGGAATAAAGCCTTTTGAGGCTTGCTTTTTATATTGAAGTTCACAACTGTGGAGTGAGAAAGCTATTATTTTGGAAAGGACTTGGGTTTTTTCCTTAATTCAGAAGCCAGGCCTTCTCCCCATGTGTCTCTCTTTTTTGTTTAAACTTGAAGGAAGAAGTTGTGCTGTTCTACTGCACTTAACCTTCCCTCTGTTTTTCTCCCTGCCGCTTGTTTCAAATCTCTTTGTGCTCTGCTCTAATCCTTGTCATCTCCCTGTGTGGTGTTCTCTTACAAAAGGTGATTCTGCTTGGGACTGTTCTTTCTGCATTGTAGTGTTTTCCTATGGCATCTGCACAGGCTGGATCTCTGCAGACTTCTGCTGCTCCTCACATCTCTGGGGAATGTGCCAGTGGTAGGCAGGCAGGAGGGAGCAGTGTAGGGCATGTTTCTCTTCTGTTACAATTGAAAAGTATAAGAGGAGATGGAAAAGGTGTGATTTTCTTGTAGCTGCTTTTCAGTTTCAGCCTTTGTTGCTTGTTTAATGTTTTTTTAAATTTGGCACTTTAAAAAGTTTCACCAACTTTGTTAGGCACCAAACTTGGCAGAATAGAGATGGAAACAAGAGGCTGAGCTCAAGGGAAATTCTTTCTTTGCCTATAACAGCCAGGGTTTTGACCATCATGCATGAGGCTTACTGTCACTTTATGTGGATTCGTTAAAATAAATAGCATGACAAGGCAAAGAATGGGTTTTCCTTCCATAGTGAAGATACCACTGAGGCAGTAGGTATCGCAAACATTAACCTATCCTCACAGTCTAAGAAACGCCAATGTCCTGAACAGCAACTTGATTCTGTGTCCTTTTCACACAGCCTCTGCATGCAGACAGCATGTTCCCAATGTCAGTATATTAAAGCAATTGGTCTGCTTTTTGAAGAGCTTCTCACATCATTGTCCTATTGCATATTGTGGGAAATTAGGCAAGAAGGACAATTTATGTAAACAGACCGAGTCAATTGATGAATTAATCTTTAGAAAAGTCAGTGTAAGCAACATCTGAATCAACACTAACTTAAATTAATGGATGCTAGTACTTCAGCTTGGAGCAGATGATTAGAATGGAAAAGAAACAAAGAGATCCGTGACAAACGTTTCTGAGTGACAGGGAATTTCTCTGCCAAAGGTTCTTGTGTAAACATTTACAGAAAAAAAAGTTCTGTTTTCTATGAACATACCCATCTCTTTCTGTGAGACTGCTTTTAAAATGCATGATGCATTGTTGCATGCTTGGGTCCTGCAGCAACAAATACCAAGATGTTTTATTGGAATACAGATTTAAACTTTCCCTTAGACATTACTTAATGAGAAAAGCTTTTCTTTTTCATTTGCCTGGCTGGCTCAATGACTAGGTCTTAAAATTGGTGACTGATTCCAGAATATTTTGTCAGCCTTATCTGCAGTCAGGAAATGAAAAAACATGTTTATCTTATTAAATTCAACAGAATTAGGGATGGTGGGCCAAATTCAGCCTGGCAGAAGGACACTCTTGCTTCACTGAATCTTCTGAGAGGGTTCTCTTAATTTATATTTGTGCTTAATAACGTGGCTGAGTATGCCACAAGTGCAGTATATGTTTCGGCGAACTTACTAGCCTTGCTCCTGTTAGTACAGCTAACCCTATTCACTTAAACCCATTAGCAGAGGAAAAAGTGGCTACTTGTAGGGTAATATGTCAGTATCTCGCTCTGATTCTAAGTCCATACTTGAACGAAGAATTAATAAATGCTTTTTTGCATCAGTCATGTATTTTGAACCTAAAGAAAAGTCATTGTGAGAGGTTCATCTCTGCCATTGTAAAAAAAAAAATATTATTGAGAATAAAAGTAAGAATCATTCTTGGCACTTTCATAGGGCTTTACAATAATTAACTAATGAATTCATTAAAATTCAGTGACAATCTTCCATTTCCTCCCATTAATATTAGACTAAGAAGATACAGTGGCTGGCTGCATTCAAATAATTATTTTTCCACTTCACTGTCTCAGCCTTTGACATTTTAAAGTGATTTTATCATTAAATTGTAAGAAAGAGGAGAAAGGCTATTGGCAAATGTTTATTAAAGGAGGAATGAACCTGAAAAATATGTGATCAGATTTTAATATCTAGATACATGCCAGGAGAAAAACGCTCAGATTATCAGTTCCTTGCTGTAAAATTTGCTCTCTCCACAATAGTTGGCAGTTGCTGGTTTTTATTACAGAAATACTTGAAAACTTAACTGAAGTTGATCTCGGTGTGTAACTGCTTGGCAGGGAGTCACTGGTGACCTAAGGAGTCAAAGGGTAGATGGAAATGGAGACAGAATAGTGAAGTACTTTCTACAAGGTCACATGCAGGTGAAGAACAACATGAAAAGGTACAGGTTGTGCTTCACAGTCCAGTGCCCACCCTGCCTTCTGTGCTTCACTGTCATGGTACATGTGTATAAAGAAAACAGATTATTCAGGTCAGAGTAACATCTATGGATGACAAAGAGCACCTGCAGCTGATGAAGAACTGAAGGCCATTTTAAAAAATAATAACCAAGTGATTTATGATTCAGACTTAGTTTTTAGAAGTGATTTGCAATATCAGGAACGGAAGTGTTATGATCCTCGTCTCCAAGATATCCAGGTGACTTTTCAAAACTAGTTATCAGGTTTCTGAATTATTTATTTGGAAGGTAAATGAATTTCCTTGAATCTTTTGCTCTTTCTCTGGAAATATTATTTTAGCAAGACCTGTCCATTTATAACTGTTAGTTTGAGAACATTTGACTTGAAAATGGCCTGAAAGAAAGATTGGGCATAGTGGATGTATCGTGAGCTGTTACTGCAACAGGAAACCAAGGATCTGTGCTGGAAAGGACACAGGAAGAAGCCTGATGTGTAGCCCAAAACCACTGACTTTGCCTGTGTTACTGCTTCTGGTGGGCTTGACCCATGGCAGTGAATTATTGAGCTGGAATATCCTGCAAATATTCTGGAGAATGGCATTTTCAAATAAAAGACAGCTCTGGATTTCCTGTCTTATATGTGCTAAAGAGTTTCTTTTTCTCCCAGCTCTAATATCAGTTCTAAACTATAAATTGGTTTCAAGTCAAACATGAATG